CAGCGGTCACTCAGTTTACCCTTCCCTTGGCGGCGATTGTCCCTTACCAGTACCCTTTCTCCAGGTAGTAACGGTGCCTCCCGGGCTGTTCGATCATACAGCCTCTTATTCTTGACTGCTGCTTGATTTATCCGGTCTGAGACCTGTTCGTAGGCGGTGTGAAGGCGCTGGTGGTGTCCTGCCACCCACTCTGTCAAGTTGCCCCCCTCCTCCGCTGGAGTGGCTCCTAACAGCAAGTCAATAGGCAGTCTCGTGTGTCTCCCGAACATCAGGTAGGTTGGAGCATACCCGGTGGTGCTGTGCACGCTGTTATTGTATGCCTGGACCAGCATTGGGAGTTTTTCCACCCAGTGTCCCTGTTGCTCTCCTTCCAGGGTCCCCAGGAGACTCAGCAGCGTCTGGTTCAGCCGTTCGCAACCTCCGTTCCCTTGAGGGTGGTAAGGGGTGGTGTGGGTCTTCTTACACCCATACAGCTGACACAGTTCGTGGATCACCCGAGACTCGAAGTTGGGCCCTTGATCGGCGTGGAGTATTTCGGGACACCCAAATGGCTGGATAACATACTTCCATAAAGCATTGGCGGTGGTAGTGGCAGTCTGATCCAGGGTTGGAATAGCCCAGGCGTACTTCGTGAATAGGTCAGTGACTACAAGAATGTTCTGTATCCGATCCATCGGTCGTCCCAGCGTCAAGTAGTCCATGGCTACGATGTGCAGTGGGGCCTTAGCCCGGATTGGCACCAGTGGGGCCCGCACCTCCTTCCTCGCCTTGAAGAGCATGCAGCGTGGACATCCTTGCAGGTAAGTCCTCGTAGTTCCCTCCATCCCAGGCCAGTAGAAATACCGCCGTAGCAGAGACAACGTCCTTTCCTGCCCTTGATGTCCCAGTTTGGAATGATATGCCTGTAGCAGGGAATGACATTGTCCTTCGGGAACTACTGCCTGGCAGACCTCATCGCCCCGAGTTGAGTCCTGGAGGGACCTGCCCATCACCCCTTCTTTCAGGAAGAGCCTCTCTTTCTGTCCCAGCAGTCCCCGCACCACCCGTGTCTGGGCCCGGCGTTCCTCGCCTTCGGGCCAAGCCCCTTCACTCAGCCAAGTCCGTACCAGCCTCACATCCTCATCCTCCTCCTGCCACATCCTCCAACGCTGGGGGTCCCATCCCCAATTTGCAGGGGGTTCGACGGGTGGTTGGCCCGGTGCCTCCACGATGCCCACCATCAATCCTTCCTCACGTCCCTCGTTCAGCGCTGATGTTCGACCCACAGATCGCGCTTCAGGAAGTCTGGACAGTACATCAGCGTTGGTGTGCTCTTTTCCTGGACGATACTGCAGCTGGTAGTCATAGTTGGCCAACTGTGCCACCCACCTCTGCTCAACCGCCCCCAGCTTGGCGGTCTGTAGGTGTACCAGGGGGTTATTGTCAGTCACGACGAGCACCTTCGCTCCCCACAGATAGTCTTTAAACTTCTCGCTCAGCGCCCATTTCATCGCCAGCAACTCAAGCTTAAAGGAACTGTAATTGGCATCGTTTTTCTCAGCCGGATGTAAACTTCGGCTGGCGTATGCAATGACTCTTTCCTCGCCCTGTTGTTTCTGAGCCAGTACAGCTCCCAGACCCAGGTTGCTCGCGTCGGTGTATAAGGTGAAGGGTTGAGTGAAGTCAGCTTGGCCAGAATTGGTGCTTGCAGTAACTCCTGCTTGAGTCGCTGAAACGCAGTCTCACAGGCTGAGTCCCACTGGACTGAGGGAGATCCCCGGCCCCGGGACCGTCCAGTGCCCCCTAACAGCTGGTTGATAGGCTTGGCGATGTGGGAGAAGCCTTTGATGAACCGCCTGTAGTACCCGACGAAGCCCAGGAATGATCTGACCTGGCGTACGGTCTTAGGCGCGGCCCACTCCTGGACAGCCGATACCTTCTCTGGGTCCACCGAAATCCCAGCAGCGCTCACTATATGACCCAGAAATTTCACCTCCTTCCGGAAGAGCTGGCACTTATCAGGCTGGAGGTTCAGCCCATATTTCTCCAGAGAGCGGAAGACTTGTTCCAGGTGCCGAAGGTGGGACTCGAAATCTGGGGAGTAGACAATCACGTCGTCCAGGCATACTAAAGTGGACTCCATCAGCTGGCCGCCCAAGCAACGCTGCATCAACCGTTGGAAGGTGGCTGGGGCATTGCACAGGCCGAACGGCATCCGGTCCCACTCATAGAGCCCAAAGGGGGTAGTGAACGCGGTCTTCTCCCTGTCCCGCTCATCCACCTCCACCTGCCAATACCCACTGGCCAGATCAAGAGTGGAATACCAGGCCGCTTGTGTCAAGCTCGTGAGGGAGTCCTCTACTCGGGGTAACGGGAAAGCATATTTTTTCGTCACCAGATTTAATTTCCGGTAGTCCACACAGAACCTCCATGAGCCGGTCTTTTTCCGTACCAGGACAATGGGCGCAGCCCAGGGACTACTGCTCTCATGGATGATTCCCTTGTCCAACATTCCCCGAAGGAGGGTGCGACCCTCGGAGTATAGGGTCGGGGGTACAGGCCGGTAGCGCTCTCTACTGGGTGCAGCATCTCCAGTTGGGATCTGATGTTTGACTGCGTTGGTACGACCGTAGTCCTCGTCGTGAGTGGAAAACAAGTGCTGCCATTTCAACAAGAAGCCTCGAAGCTGTTTTGTCTGACCTCCTGTCAGACCTTCTCCCCATAGTGACTCTCCCTTGAGATAAGCTGGGACTCCCTCCCCGGTCTCCTCCACATGCTGATCTGTCTGTGCCAGGGCCACTTCTATCTCCTGGTTCTCGAACTTGCTGTGCCTTCACCGAGGTAACTCGGGCTAAACGCTGATGGCGATATAAGTGAACAGGGAAGGAGTTCGTGTTCCGAACTTTTACACAGACCCGGCCTCTCCGTGCAGATGCCAATCCTCGAGCGACTTCTACCTTGGAACAATCTGGATGGGGTTCCACCAAGACCCACTCCTCTGGGCGATAAAGTCGGGAAGGTAGCCTGGCCCAGACTACGGCCTCACTCCGAGCCGGAATTTCCAGAGCATACCGCCAAGCTACTCTCCCGGTGCCCTCGCGGTTCCCCTGTGACTCCACCAGGCAGACTCGACGACAATCAGCTTTCACACGACTCCATTCTCGGCCCTCCGACGTCGATGCTGCTCGACTGGGTCCATTCCGGAATATTTCTTCCCAACACTCCGAGACGACATTCATGCCCAGCAGTGCACGGTGGGACCCCAGGCACGCATCCCGTACGATCACCACTCCTTTCTGAGGCACAACAATCCCATGTATCTCCAGGTCGGTTACTAGATATCCCACGTACGGGATGTCGAGCCCGTTGGCTCCCCGCAAGGTGAGCCATGGGGCTTCTGTCATGGGCCGGCCCTGGGCACCAAACAACTCCCGAGACAAACTTTCTGAGAAGAGAGTGACTTGTGACCCGGTGTCCAGGAGGCACTGTACTTTCTGGCCATTTACCTGGACCATCACCACGGGGCAATGCCCCACCAAACTCTCCTGGGAAGTCCCAGACGAACATGGGTCCGATGAGGGGGTCCCGACCACTTGACCCACAGTGGCCGGTGACACTAAAAACCCCCTTGTGAGGCACGGCGAGAGTGGCACTGGCGAAGGTAGTGTCCTGGCTCTCAGCAACCATTGCAGATGGGACGCCCTTGCTCATCCCACTGGAATCGAGTCCCGGCTGGCCGAAGTGGACGGTGTGCTGGAGGTCGATTCCCCTCTGAATAGGCTCGCTCCCTCGGCAAAGACAAGGAATGGAGGTGTTCTCGGCGAAGTTCTTCCATAAAGGATTTGGTCAGTGAGGACATTTGATCACGAACATCCCTCTTCAGTTCTTCACGGAAGGCCTGCTTCCAATCAGACATGACGGGGGACGGAGGTCTACTAGCAGCATTCGTGGCCATGCAGTGGGGAGGAACTACACTCTCGGCATGATCTTGCTCAAGTGCTAAGGCTTCCCTCCGTAGATCTTCAAAAGTGAGGTCTGGCTCTCGTCGGAACTGTATCCGTAAACTTTGGCGCACGGGACCTTCCAGCAATCCCAGTAGGAACTGATCCCTCAGTAGAACTTCCTCACCTCCCAGGCCATGATCCTGTCTCTTCTTCAACCGGGAGAACTGCTCCCTCAGCTGCAGTGCAAATGCCCGGATAGTTTGTCGCGGTCCCTGCTTACAATTGAAGAACTGTGTTCGCAGCACAGCAACCGGGGTAGTGTCTCCATATTGCTCCGTAAGGAAATCAAAGATGGCCCGAACCGTGGTTCTCGTTGCTTCCGGTGCTGCTTGCACTTCTCTTCTCGTTTCTCCCTCTAGTGAATTTAAAACAAACTGTACTCCTTGGGGGGCACTTAAACCTTGGAGTCCTACCAGGTACTCAACCTGGGTCTTCCATGCCGACAAACTCACTTCCGATCCTGGGCCTCCATACTTCTGGGCCCATGGGGCTCCCATAAAGATCGGCAGGACCGGCTGCCGCACCACAGGTGCCTCTTCGTCCGCCATCTTGATCTCTGGCCCCTCAACTCAAGGTGGTACCCTGCCGACTTACGCCAAATCTGTCACAGGTCGGGGGGGACAAGCCAGACTGCGCCCACCCCTCAAAACCCAGGACCACCTCGAGGAGCGTACCAGAGACCAGACAGACAAGAAGAATTTCTAAAAGTAACAATCTTTATTTGAATAAAAGCAAGAATTATAAGTCTTAATACGGGCTTCGTCTCTCTTTCCAGGGAGGAGGAGGCCGAGGGGTTCACTGCGGGGGCCCGGGTTACTGGCAGCCACAGAGGAGGAGGGAGCCGAACGCCTGTCTGGCGGGCAGGTAAGTAACGTGGTAAGAAGGCTCTTTTCGGCGTAATACAGGCGGACAACGGTCCGGGCAGACCAGGGCCGGGACCACGGGCCAGGACGGGTCTCTCTCCACAGGACAGGTGGGTAGCAGGTAAGTTTCTTCCAAGCGTCAGCTATTCGGCAGATGTTCTGCACAGGGGGCGATGGAGTCCAGAAGGGGGACTCGCTGCCGATCAGGTACGGGGTCGGGTAGGCAAGTCTCCTCCGTGCAAGGTGCTCTCCCCCGTGGCGTCACTGAGCAGCAAGTGTGAGGTCCTCCGAGTGCCTTTCCGCCCTTGACGGCTCCAGCCAGAGACAAGGGTACCCTGTATATTCCAAGACAGAGACAAGTGTGCAGGTTCAATTCTATTCCGGTGAAGTAAGGACTTACGGCTGGAGCGGGTGGTTCGGAGCAAGCATCGCTGCTGCTGGGCTGTGTCTCTCCTCTGAACAGGCAGCACACGAGAAGGCGGTGACAGAGGAACGTTCTATTTAAATAGACAGGACAAGTTAAACAGGACAATCACACTCCTCTCCCATATCACAGGACCTGGTGGCGAAAGTGGAACATACACATCCAACCTGAGGGCTTCGTTCCGCTAAATCAGCTGCCGCTGTCATGGCAACAGACAACAGCAAACCAGCACGGTGTGCCGGTGAAATCGTCCCGGGGGGAAACACACTCCTAGCGGAAATTAGTTCCGCTAGATTTGTCACCTTGTGACATGATTATGTAATTGCTTTTTGTTGTATTGATTATGGTGGAAGGCCACGGCAACAGCAGTGCTATCGAAATACAATTTGTATTGTATTGTATTATTATGCCGCATTAAAGCGGCCGCTTTTGAGAAACTGACAGGCAAGTGTGTCAGTAATTAGCCGGAATAAGAAACGAGGGCCTCGCTGGTGGAGAAGTTCATCTACCTGGAGATTCCCAGTGCCTTCAGCGGGATGGCGGATCCCGAACCCCGCACACAACATGTTTTGGTCGGGAAGTTCGGTCTGGACTCGATCCATTGAGGAGTAATTATGATCGGTTCAGAAATCGTTGGGCCAATCAAATTGCCAGGGCGGGCTTTATACGATGATGGACAGATGATCTGCAGTTACGTAATCAAAGAGCGCTTGGGTTGAACTGGTTTCCCTCAGAGATGACTGCAGCTGGAGAACTGAGATGTAGAGATCCCACTATTGCATCTGTTTAAGAAGAAATCGACAGCACATTCATTTTAAAAGATGAACAGAGAACTGCAATCAAGGCCTTTGTCGATCGGAAAGATGTCCTTCCTGCGGGATTCGGCAAAAGTTTAATTTATCAGCTGGCTGCGATGGTCGCTAAGAAGATGGGACGCAATGAAAGCCCTGTGGTCGCTGTGGTTTCTCCTTTGGTCGCACTCATGGAGGACCAAGTAAAAGAAGCAACACTCATTATTTTACTCTTCCAGCGTGTGTAGTTGAGTTCTGTTGACAATTTGCGTAGCTCAACATACGTCACTTACTGCATTGCTCTGATTGGTTGTAGGTCTATCCAATTGAGTGCAGAGGTTTTTTTTCCCTGGTTTGGTTAAGACACGCCTCATAATCAAAGCCCTATGGAGCAGTATCAGACTCATTCTGACCAGAATATGGCTATACTGACACACTTGCCTGTCAGTTTCTTTGAAGCGTGCGCTTTTAGCTGCACGATAAGCTTTCTTTGACTGTTAGCATTTTTAAGACCCTTTTCGGGCTCTCCATCTTCTAACATTACACTCCGACACGGTATTTCTTGGGTTGCTTAATAAGAGTTGTTGGATGACTCCACTGCTTTATCACCATGAGCGTAACGTTTGCATCATATCCTCTCCTCAGCTGGACTTTTGAGCCGCTGTGTTCGCCGTCCTGCCGTCCCCAGACACTGAAAACCACCGGCCGTTTACAGGGGCGTATCCTTCAGTCCTGGGGGAAAAACTCATTTTACACGCATTTGGCGCTTCCTGTTGTTGCGGGTGTATTATTGGCATGTAAAGGTCTAGACCCCGACTATGAGATGACCCCCTTTTTTCAGATGCAATTTGGTACATTCAATTGATTAAAATCCATCTAATGTATACAGGACATACATGCATCCAATGTATAAAACTCTTCTCAGAGAGTTTCTCAGGGGCTCAAATGTAAAAAGGGGAATCTGTCACAAGTAATTCCAATATAACAATACTACAGTAATTATATTTATAGGCCTGCACATTAGGGATGTCCTGAGCCGATCTCAAGACTCGGTATAGGGGTCGATTAAGCATTTTTTAACTAATCGTACTGGCTATCCTAAGACTGAGCCGTTATGTTACGTCAGCTGTCGCGCAGGTGTTGTGCACACTTTTTTTTTCTTTTTGTTGCAATTATTTTGCTTACTGTACACATAAAATACAAAAAGTCTATATCAGTAGTTTCATAATTGTAACCACACAGTACCAATGTCTTGTTTAAATCAGTAAAACAAAATGCTTATTTGCCCAGATACTGATCATTGATATCAGCTTGAGACATCTCTAATTTTAATATTTTTTTAGGAGATAATGAGGTGGCAGAGAAGAATTGTGAGGGAGTTATAGAAAGTGAAAGGGTTATTAGACAAATGGAAATATATGGCTCCAATATATGTCATACAAATGCTGAGCCCTTTGGCACATGGGCATGTATGATCCTCCACATCTGCTGGCCAAAATACACCATATTGGATGATTTCTTCGTGTATTACTTTTATGTAAAACAGAAGGTGGACATGTTTGTATGCATTCGTAAAGCAGGACAGATGCTTTTCTTCAATAGTTCCTTCTTATGGGATCATCTGACTCTATTTGGAGAGCTGTTACATGTGCTCTTCTACACTATCAGGGTTATTGATGGGAATGTTTAGCTTTTTTCATGGAGCCTAACAAGCTGAATATTAATGAGATAGCAGTTTTTATTGCAATGGTTTTTAAAGTGTGGTATCTTTTTATCATTCAGAGAATGCTACGAATATAATCTTTTAATCGGTTGCTTAAAGAACCATTGACACATGGAGCCAGAATTGACATTTCTGCCAATGACAACAATTTTCCTGGAAAAAGAAAGTGTTGATACACCTTGGCATTCTGTACTTGAGTTGAATAATAATGAGAAACCTCAATGGAGAGCATTGCAGAGAACCGAGGTGATATGTAATGGAGAATCATTGCCACAAATGTTTCTGTTTTAAACCCTGAAGTTACTTCTTCTGATCATCTCTTTTTGTTTGTTTGTTATTTGTTTTTGCACTGTCCTAGATTGAAACCCTTATTTGATGTTTCGAAACATATTTTAGCTGTTTTAATGAAAAGGTTTTCCATGGACATTTTTTATTTTGAGTTTTAGAGTTAAAAGAGCCCGGTGAGAATCTCACTCTTGTTTTTGCTGATATGGTAAGATCAAGAAACCTAATTGATTTGTGTGTGTAGTCTATGCAAGATCTTTTAACGTTTGAGATGACTCGGTGTTGTAAGGCAGCTTTGTGTTTTGTTTTTGAGGGGGACTAATATTTTTGCACATTCAGTATAACAACTTTTATATCTATTTTTGTGTGGTTGTAACCATTCTTACTTCTGAGGTTGTAAAAAAAAATGTTTATTGTACTTGCCCATGACTCATTTAGTGTAAATCTGTTTATTTTGTAATAAAGGTCTTTTTTTACAAATTATCTCTCTCTCAATCTCTCTCCCTCTTCAAACACACTCCCATCCCTCCCTCCCTCCCAGCTGTAACACAGACACGCACACAGCGACACACACACTTCTGCTCTTATTCTCCAGTAAAGATGCTGCACAAAGTCCGAGATCAGGTCAAGAAACATCCTGGAGTGAGTATTTTAATTCAACTTCCCTTTCTACCTGTTTAAAAAAAAAAAAAAAATACATTTGTTAATCTATAACAAGCATTAATAAGGAAATAAAACATAATCAGCTCATTTGATTAGGTTGCTTATATAATGCTAAAATACATCCTGAAGTGTCAATAATAATCTGAAATATGTAAATAAAGTGTTACATGTCATGTAGGACTAAACACTTTTATGGCATTAATAACTTCTGAGCAATTAAAAAAAACTGCTAACAATGTAGAATTAGTTCACTCATCTACTGTGAATGCTCTTCAAACGTTTCAAAATGTTAAACTTCAAATAAAAATGGCAGTAACACTTTATATTACGACCCGAAATTACGGTGTACGTTTCTGTAATTATAGTGTACTTCCGTGTAGGTATAAGGGAACAATATGTTAAGTTTTGGGTAATAAAGGGGTACAACCAGATATAATTTTTTTTGGCTTAACGTAGTTTAGTAAGAAAAGCCAATAAATTAAATTTTTATCATACTGTTCTTACATACAGCCATATATATATATATATATATATATATATATATATATGTGTGTGTTTAATTTACAACCCACAGATGTCAAAATTACCCTGTAACTACATTGCACAAGAACATATTTTGCCAGAAATGTGATACAAACTTTTATATACAACAGACGTAATATATGCCTGGATTATATTAACAGAATTGGTACCTGTTAGTTTTAAAATAATTACATTATAAATAATTTGCTTTTATATCTGGTTTTACCCCTTAATTACCCAAAACGTAACATATTGTTCCCTTATACCTACACGGAAGTACACTATAATTACAGAAACGTTCACAGTAATTTCGGGTCGTAATATAAAGTGTTACCAAAATGACTTTGAATTAAGATCATTGGAACTGGGGAAAAAAAACGTATTCTGTAAAAAAAAAAAAAAAAAAGGAGAACAATATTTCGATTCAAAATATGATAATAGAGATCTTATCTGATTGCAAACCGGACCTTTTATTTATAACACTTTCCAAGAGAGCAAACCCTAACTCATGTCATCTTCCACAGCTCATCCCGCAGTTTTTCTTCATCTGTCTGGGAATGGGTGGAGCGTTCCTGTATCTGTTTCGTCTTGCCAGAGGACCTCATGTCACGTAAGGAGATTATTAAATACAGTAATGAGTAGTGCCATTTAAATACACGTTAAACTGATTCTTCAGACATGGGACAATTGGATCTGAAATTTTAGATAATTCATTTGATCCTATTACCATTAAAAACCATAAAATGTCTATTGCATTTAATTTAATACCTGTGTGATATGCAAAACAAGGTATTTCATCCCCAGAGTAAGCATAATTTATGTCTAACTGTGTCATAATTCAATACGTGAAGCTGAAAATGAATTCTAGATTTAATTTTAATTAAACTTTTTAATTTAAATTAAACAATTGAGGCATTATAATTTTACATCTGACAGTGTTGACTGCCATCACGGTCAGATACAAAATGTGATAGTTAAGAAAGTGTGGTTTATTTGAAATATGTCTTTATGGTTTGGCTGTTGACAGCTGGAACAAAAGCAGTAACCCTGAACCCTGGAATCAGCTCAGTCCCGGATACCAGTACAAGGTACATGAGCACATCACATCAGTCGTGTTCAGATCGGACCCTGGGGGTTTGGAACGTGAAACTAAACTATTACAGGCTAAACCTACAGAGGGACATGGGAGACTATAACATAACAAATATCATTTTATTTTCAGCTTTCTCATTTGCTTCAACAGCAAAAGGAATTTGCACTTTCATGACTTAAACAATATAAAGGTTGATAATAGCAGAAGTCAAAAGAGAGAAGGATGTCACTCCCTCAGCATATGTATGAGAAACACTCACTTTTATATATAATTTAATAATATAGCACAAAACATAATGTTACACATTTGCATTACATTTAATTATTGCAGAAATGCATCATCATGGTCTGTGTAAAGTGTCCATTCTTGTTCTCTGTTATTAAATGTGATACTGATATGCAAGTCAAAGCGGTAACTCTTTATAATACTGTTCCTTCACAGGAACAAATGAGTAACGCAATATTAATATTCTAGTAACTACTATTAACTAATGTAATAGAAAAATGTTAACTGATCAGTAGAGTTGAGAAGAGATATGTTTGTGAACTGCTGTGTCATGCTTGGGTATCTGGGGAGGTGCCGGGTGTGACCCTTCAGGAACATATGGGACATGACCTTTGACCTCAGGCCTATGATGGTCTGGAGATAAACATGAGCCTGCGTGACAGTGGCTCTCTTATCGGAGAAGGCAGACAGAAGCCGGCGAAGACCTTGAAAATGCTATAAAGGCTGCCCATTTCCTCCTGAATTAATAGAATGAATACTTCTCTTTTAATAAATACTTTTATAAATACTTTCATTCTCTTATAAGAGAGAATAAATACTTTTATTTTATACATTTGATTCCGAGTGTCTCTTTTGCAGTGATGATGTTTAACAAGAATTTTTGCCACAACAATAACAAGAAACTCTAATTAACAAATTAGTAAGTAATAGCGCTCAGTTAAATGTGTTAGTTCACTATTAGCTAATCTACTAATAGTTTCATACCTCCCAGAGAACTACTATATACAGGTTCATAATTAACAGGAATAATGCATAATTTATAATAAAAGGTAACGGTAGCCCACTAGTAATGACTTTAGTGTTACTACATCCTTCTAAAGGAACTGCTAATTATTTGGATCAGTATCTAACGTGAAAAACATGATAACTCCCTAATATTGACTGAAGTCAGTGTTAGCTCTTGAGATTTGTGTAAGGTTGTGGATAGTAATTCCTTCCGATGGATTTGTAACACTTCAGTCATTACTAGTGTGTTCCCATGATCTTCACTTTAGATACTGATCTAAATTATTAGTAGTTCCTTTATTTGAGTCATTACTAGTGGGTTACCGTTATCTTATAACCTGTATATAGTAGTCTTCAGTGAGGTATGAAAAATAGTAGTTATTGATTAGCTAATAGTGAACTCCCACATTCAATTGAGGGCTATTACTTACTAATTCATTACTCAGAGTTTCTTGTTAGTTAATAGTAGTTACTAGAATATTAATAGTGCGTTACTCATTTGTTCCTGTGTAGTTATTCATTAATGAAGGAACAGTATTATAAAGAGTTACCGTCAAAGTTTGTACTAATATCATTGTGTGGATTTTAGTTTGCAATGTGATGAATTTGGAGTTGTGTTTAAAGTTGAGTTATTTTACCTTCTAATTGCTTATTTGCAAACATGTCACAGTCACAGTTGCACTGTAGGTTACTGTGGATCTATAGACGTGCGAGTTATTAACTACAGAATCAGAAATAGCTGTCCTCGCGAAAAAGAAAGAGACTCCAAAAAAAATGAGTTGTGGTTTATCTGGATGTGTATTTTGAGAATGATTCATCCCTGAACTGAGTGGCTTCATCAGTGTAGAACAGTATGTTTTGGTATTTCCTGTGGATCTCATTTCCCTGATGGTTTAATTTGCGGCAACACAAGGACTCGAGTAGAAGCCAACAGAGAACTGTAGAGAAAGATCAGACACTTCATGAGACGGATGTGCTGCATGAGTCAAGAGTTCAGATCAAGCTAAACGCTGGTCAACAGGGCTACACTGACATGCCTGTGTGGGGAATGAACTCCTCTCTGTCCGGCTGAGACATGTTTAACACGCCAGTGTCTCAGAAGCCTGGTTTCCATTACGGATTTGCGCAAAAATATGCGATATTTTCTAAATGATGATGTTTTCATTAACCGATATTATGCGACTAAACCTTCATTTTTTTCCTCTTGCGATCAGTCATTCCAAACATCATGGTAATGGATGTCGGTTTACGTAGATCTCAGCCACCGCACTAGACATTACTGTTAATGGAAGGAGACGTAGGCGTGTGTCCAAGCTTTAATGGCAATACTTGTGAGCGGCACATATGAGCTGTTTCTCCCTCCTATCTGCGTATTGATAAATTGTTGCATTTCTTAGTGGTTTATAATCCAGTATTCCTGTAGCCTAGAAATCTAGACGCACCCAAGCGGCAGCAAAGTGTGGTCTAGCAACTCTCCGTTGGCTTTTCGAGCTGGAAAAACCAAACTCTGGTCAGGCCAATCACATCGTGTATAGAGTTGGTGGGCGGGCTTAACAATGACGGCAGAGATGTGACGGTTCCGCGTGATTTCCATAGGTGATTTTGGGGATATAGGGATATTGAAAGACAACCGTTTATCGCGCCCCTCGGATTGAGGTATGCCAATTGTGAGTTCCCAGACCTAACATCTTGATGTAGGTCTGGCTTGCCAGGCTAGTATTCCTGTGATACTTTCGTCTTTTATGAGTTTAATAAAGAACTCAGTCTCATCTTCTGTCCAAACACACCGCCCCATCTTTAACCCTCTGGGGTCTGAGGTGTTTTTGGGGTCCTTGAGATGTTTTGACATGCCCTGACATTTGTGCTTTTTTCAGTTGCTTATAAACATATTACTGGCACAGGTGAAATTACACTCTATTTAGCACAAGCAGGACTACCATAATATGTGAGCAACATGTGTGTACATGTTTGTATTTTTGAGAGAATATTGTTTATGCATGGTTATTGAAAAAAACTAAACAAAGTTTCTGAAATAAAGCCACAAAACACTTACTAAATATGTGTCCACAAGACTTTTGACTAATGGATGTTGTCGCCTAGAGTTTTTGCTTCAAAATGATCTGAAAATCATCCTTTCTAATCATTCACATAACACAATAGATTCTTTTAAATTGTGAAAAATATTTTTTTTTGTTTGGAAAAGCAATATGCGAATGGGTCTGAACGGCCCAACCCCATTGTAAATAATTAGGTGGTTGAGAAGACAAAGACCCGCATATTAATGAGCCTTTCATTCAGGTGTGTCACACAAGAAAGAATGCAAGGACAATATATATACATACACACACACACACACACACACACACACACACACACACATATATATATATATATATATATATATATATATATATATATATATATATATATATATATATATATATAAAATATAAATATAAATGAAAGTCAAAAGCACATTTTTAGTCATCCCTGGAAACAAATCCTGTTCAAATGGGTTATATGGGCCATTCTACAGAATTGGTTCAAAGTAAGAGTTGGAAACATCTTGTAGGCCAATACATTTTATCATACATATTTCAAAATGTAGGCCTAATGATTTAAGCAAAACTTTCTTTAAAGGTTAAACCAACCTTTTATTTTGACATGTTGCCATGTAGACCTTTGAGTCTCTCTGTGTTGTTTTTAATATGACGATAGTTTTTCTCAAATCAAGCTAAAATGCTGCTAAAGTGACTCCCAGAGCGGCTGTGTAGATGAAGTGCATGCATTAATGTCCTCATATAGGCTGAAAACATCGCGAGCATGCTTCAGTGTGTGTTGTGTGTGTGTGTGTGTGTGTGTGTGTGTGTGTGTGTGTGTGTGTGTGTGTGTGTGTGTGTGTGGTAAATGAATCCGCGCGTCTGAGCCATTCATTCACTGAGACACAGAAAATGTATGATTCCTTTTATAGTCTTTATGCATCAGTGATACTTAGCAGTTGTATTTCCGATTTGAGCTTGAGCTTTAGAAATGCTTGGGAAAATGTAGCTTGTGTGGACGCTACCGCACTACTCAATCAAAAAAAGAGCTTCGCTACTGAAAAGCTATTTGATTCAGAAAACAGCGACGCTACCACCACGCTACTGAGAAATGTTGTTAAACTAGTAGCGTCACTACTAGTAGAATCACTACTTGTAGCGACGCTACTGCCCAACACTGCACGCAATTGATATTTAAACAGTCTTTGTGCAGTTTACAGACACTATTCAATAACGCGATTAGAATAAAGCACTTAAGAATAAACTTACTACATCAGCTGAATCCGTCGAAATGAAACTACCAGCACTTCTGAGGTAACTTTCCAGGATTATTAAGATAGTATTCCTCACAGCGCAGCAAGACGAGGTAAAGCACAAGATTCTTATTAAACTGGATGTTTTATCCAGCTGATGTGGGCGTTTTCATGGCTTCGCAGAACGCGCATCATGTTTATTTTTCTTTATTTGACAAAAAGCACAACACTTTGTTTTTATTGTGAGTATACAGAAAAAAATAGACACTTAACAGGATCTAATGATGTACAACACTTATTTGTAAGATCAAAATCAACAGAGTAATTTGAGTCGCTTTTGCATTGATAAGGAAAAAAGTGAGCTCGTCGCGCCGGCGCGATAGCCGACCACACACAGATCATGTGACTTTTCCGTACAAATGCAATTTTGCTAAATATTCCTTTTTCGACTTGCCTAAAAACCACCTCCATCAAAGTTTTTTAGCGATAAATGGGAGTTTTTGTGAAATTGAGGGGTTTCCATTGGGCGCATTTTCAATTCGCAATTTCAGTTCGGTCAATTTGAAGGGTAATAATTAATAATAATTAATTACATTTATATAGCGCTTTTTCTTGGCACTCAAAGCGCTTTACATAGAAGGGGGAATCTCCTCAACCACCACCAATGTGCAGCATCCACCTGGATGATGCGACGGCAGCCATATTGCGCCAGAACGCTCACCACACACCAGCTTACTGGTGGAGAGTAGACAGAGTGATGAAGCCAATTGGTATATATATATGGGTAATGGAAACGCAGCTAGTGACACTCTTTACTGAGTGTTGTGGACAGGTTAATTGCTTGTTTCCTTGCAAAACTAATTTTCTTACAACCTTCAGTCAACATTTTATAAGTACACTGTCTTATTAATGAAACATACAGTACAGAATATACAAAATGCCATCAGCATGTTTCATATAGGTTAATGGGTTAGTTGGATTTAATATTTTAAGCAGATTTATTTATTTATTTATTTATTTTTTAAATAATAATTTGTACAACAGTATATGATCAAATAGCACTTTCTCTTTGGCAACCATTCTGTGCAATACATGATCAAGGGAATGTGCAGTTATTTCAGACAATCCAGCTGCTAAAATATGAAAAGGAAAATATCGGAATGATGGCAAAATGTTGATTTGAGTGCTTGTGAGATGTTCACTGGTTGACAAGCCGTCGTTCTTGCTGTCAGATGTATGATGTGCTATAGATCTGAGGCAGCACACCTGATTTGCACTTCCTAAACGACTGAAGCCTAGAAACTTGCACAGAAAACAGCCATGGTAATACAGAAGCAAGTTAAAACTGCTCTATATAACATCACTGTCTGTCTCGACCTGCCATGCAATCAACACATGTCTTCTTTCTCCCATCTTTAGTTTGTGGCCATTAACACAGACTACAAAAACCTGAAGAAGGAAGGACCAGACTTCTGAAAGTCAGCGTCACGGCTGTTGGCTCAACTTTCATCACCAGATGCCCTTTACCTCACCAGTACAAATACAGACAATAATACAAATAAATAAAATAAAAGAATGAGGAAAATAAAACAAAAGCAATACTTGAAATAAAGACTGGTTTTCAAACTAGTTCAGAGAGAAATCACTCTTTTATATCTTCACAACACACACTGGGAAGTACTTATTAGCATGAAATGAAGAGCTGAGGAGTGTTACTTTTGTTTATGTGCATTAGACTTTAAGCTTGACAGAAATCCCTAAAACTGCAGAGATAACATGACCTCCCCCTAGCGAGCATGAGAAAGGGCGATAGGAAGACGAGCAGATGTTTGTCTTTCTGTAAACAGAACCTGAACAGCAGAGACTCATGGGAAGGAGGCTGATCTTCCTGCTTGACGTCTGGGATTATTTGGGAAAGCAGTTCTGTTCAGAGTGACACACATGTTTATCTCTGTCTCTGTCACGATGTTTCTATCTGCACGTATTACTGTCTTCATTTTTATCGTCACCACCATCCAACCATCATACAACACACGTTCTCCTCGCTGACTTGGCAACCCGTACAAACAAACACAGGAAATAGGCAGCCATTAGACTCGCAGTGTTTATTCTCCAGACCCCCAGAGACGGTAAAAGAACACATATAAAGATGCATGTCTTTCTTTTTATGCAAACATGTTATCCATGGTCTTAGCTACTGCTACTACTTTTGTTGGTTTGATTTCCAGTGTCATAGACTGACTCGACAGACAGATTATCTTTCTCTAAACTGATTTAGGCACGTCTAATCAAACTAAGGCGTAAAAATATTTTAGATCGCAGTACCGTGAAGATAAAATGCATTTCAAAAACTGAGAATGGACACAGAGCTTTATTTATACAGCTGAATTCAGTTACTGTGATGAATTGAGCAAAACTTTACTCAGGATGATATACAAGATTTTAATCGAAGTTTAGCTAAACGTGCCACTATTTGGTCCCTTTTCAGTTAACGAGTTCATGAGAAATATTGATTTGAATTAGAATCATGTTCATTTGTCCATCCATGTATTTTGTTAAAAATATATTTTTTTTTTTAAACTACCACAAATAATTTCATTTTAAATGTTTAAATTAATAACTAATTAGGAAACTTTTTTGGGGAAAAGGATACATAAAATATAGGATAATCATAAAAACATAAGACAATGTGGGTTTAAATTAAAAGTTTTAGTGACATGACATATGTTTACCTACAGATGTTGCCAGTTCACAATGGCCTTTTTACCATGGTGTTTGTTACAGTAAATATGCATTTACTGCTCTAATCTACTGTGTGTAATCTAAAGTGGCGCTATAATGGGTGATGGCCTGGTTCACACACTGTGAGAGGAAATGTTACACATTGCTGGTTTGCATAGAGTTTAGTGTTTGTATTCCCTGAACATTGTGATGCAGTTTGAGAAATATATATTCCATGTTTTGTGCTAAATGAATAAAGAGCACTTCTGCAAAAAATCTACCTCTGTCCACTGACTTTCTATATATTCAGAAACTTTATATTTCATTTATTTTTATCAGATTGCAAAACCAAATTCGAATTAGGGTACGATATGCCTAAAACTGAGAAGTTTTTCCTTTGAGTTTTACGCGTGCAGACGTCAACAACTAAAAACACTGTATTCTGCTGCCAGGCCATTAGATGGCGATGAAACACTATAGACTGAACACGTAATACCCATGTGCATATTGTTAACACGGAGACTGTTTTTTAAAAACTTGCACTTTGAAAAACGTTTTCAAAAGTTGTCGTGGTCGTGTAAACGAACGGCCAAAACCCATAAAAAGTTGTATGTTTTTAGGTGAAAACGGTGTCGTGTAAACAGCCCCTTACAGTGCTGCATTTCCTAAAAAAAATACTGAATGCCTTTTTGCGTTCATACTGTCACATGTATGTTCTGTTTTCATTTGGTTTTCACTGTGTTGTGTTTCTCCGTTTGTTCTATTAGTTCAGTCATCCTCGTTACCCACCTCGTTTCCCGTTTTCCACACAGGAATGAAAGTTTATCAGAGCTCGAGTTGAAGCTGCTACATCGAGCCCCTCTCCAGTGGACAGCAAGCCAAATAAGTTTAACCTAATATCTTAAAGATTTTATGGGCAAACAAACTCGTTAAAGTCTCCATAGTTACTGTAACGAGGTTAGATGTTGGAGGCGGGAACCGACAAACATTCAACAACTTTAATTATCAAATTGTCCAAAACAAAATGCAGCCCCTCACGGACGACTGCTGTCATAACAAAACACAACATAAATCCAGGCCTGTCCTCTCTCATCCTTCACTGTCGTCGCTCCTCCTTTTATGCTACCGCTCCTCCGTGAGAGATACGAGACCGGTGCGTCTCGCAGGAGTCGCTCATCAGTAATCACGCTACTGATTTAATATGAGTTTTCTGTTCAGGTGTGTCTCGTCTATTATCTTGTTAGCTCCCCTGTTTGCCTGTGTATTTAATGCCGCGTTCCAGGCAACCTGTAACCCGTGTTTTTCCAACCTTATACCCGTGAAAGTGCACTGGAACGGCAGTCAAACCCGTGACTTCCCACCCGTGAACTCGTACTAGATCGATGTACTCCCAGGAACGAGCTCTGACGTCACATAGCCCGCGAAACCATACAAAACAGCAATGGTTTGATTACATCTAGCTACCACAATTCCTTGCGCTCAGGTAGTTTGGCGTGACTGGCTTGGAACGTGACAAAGTCGTGAGTCGTAGTTTGAAGTCGTGATTTATGTGCTCAAAAAACTGCCTGGAACGCAGCATAAGTCTGAGTTTGCCTAGTTGTCTGTCGACTTCGCTGTAAGCCTGGTTGTTCTGTTCGTGTTTTTTGAAATTGCAAATTATCCTGAGTATTTCTGTTAGATTGAGTTTGTGATAAATAAAGATTGCTGCAGATAAGACTCATGACAGATCAACAGACCTTATAAAATGGGTCTTCCAGTAGTCCAGTTGCTGTGAATGGACCAGGAACATTGTTTAACAGGTCTTTGAGCAAGTTGATGGAGAACAGAAGCTCCTCGGCTGATTATGTGGAGGCCATAATGTTTGGTCTGCAATACAAAAAGCAGATAACAACCAAATGTTCCCCTTATCTGCTGTTTGGTTGTGAGGCTTTGTACCCATGTGAGGTACCTGACACCCATGAGGTTAGCACAATTGTGTTTTCACAGTTAATATTTTGAAATGTCATCACCTTTTTATTACTACTTCTTCAATGTTTATGCACAATTTGCCTCTTTACTCTAGATCAATAAAAGTATGCAGGAAATAGTTGCAGAGGAGAGCATTTCTGAATGCGTTAAACGGCAAGGACAGGTTGTACCAAACCTTTCAGGACAATATGGCACAGGTGCAAAGAAAAATAAGAAAGAGGAAATGCGAAAAAGAAAAGGCCGTTGTCATGCAGGTTGGGGACAGAGCACTGAGGCAAACCAAAAGAAGTCAGCAGAGAAACGAAGGAAAACTAGACCCCGATTATTTTGGCCCATGCACCGTCACTAGTTGTAGGAAAAGCGCAGACCTTGTGGATGACAATGGCAAACTATTTACCAGGGTAAACCTTGATCACCTGATACACTTTTTAGAAGATCCTCCACCGAAACTCCTCGCCCCCACCTCTCACGTTCATCTTGTCACCCTGCCATTCAAACTTTCTCTGACAACTTTCTCCGTCCTGCGCTCCAGCCTATGGTCTCTCGTCCCGCCCCTTGGGCTGATTGTATCCACCTTTTAAAACATATGCAAAGAGAACAACATTCTATTTTTTTTATTTAATTATTTTTACTATTACAAGACATCTGGAAATGTAGGGGGAAGTAGGTCCATACAAATATTTACCTAGGATCTTGAGCGCCTCCGATCTCGGGAGAAGCTTGAGAGTGAGTTGAGCTTATTCTGAACAAAATTTTAAAAATATAATTCTTGATTTATTTTTATTGGACTTTATTATCTTTTTTTTTTTTTTTTTGATTGGTTGGTTGTGGGGAACAATATCTGTAGTCACTTGGGTATGTTAGGATGACTTGCTTTCGTTTCCTTTAAAAAAAAAAAAAAAAACTTGCAAGATTATATTAACTTCATTTGTGTTGTAAATTAGATTTTATGCTTAGATTGAATATGATAGTTGCAAAGGCTGATATCACAGTGTGCAGGCCAAGTTTGGTAGCAGTTTTTATTTGTCCTGGATGTCAAGACCCAAACTGGTCATGTATGTTATGTTTTTTTTTTAATCATCTATTTTTGTTATCATATCATGTCTTGTCCATGTACACTTTTGTAAATAAAACTTTAATACAAAATCAATTGCTGTCTGTGGCGAGCAGGACGAGGCCAAGGGCCGTGAGGGAACGATGCGAGGCCGGTGGCGTGATTACTGATGAGCGACACCGGCTTGGTGGATGGAGAAATGAAGCCTCTTGTATCGGGGAAAGATTCAACGCATCAGGAGTGTCTAAAACAGGGCCATCTTGTGGCAGGTCAAGTTTATAGCAGCCACAAACCCAGAGTGTGCAGCTCTGGGGTCTCATTTATAAAACTGTGCGTAGGATCCTTACTAAAAGTGTACGTGCGCCCGAAAGCCAAAAATGGCGTACGCTAAAAAAATATTCAGACTTATAAAACTGTTCGTACGCCAGAACCTGCGCAAAAATCACTTTATAAATCCCAGTCAGCGGAAGAATGTGCGCACATGCGTCTCCTCCCCGAAATAACCATATATGGAGCTTACAACGCCTAGTTTTACTATGCATATCCTCATCTGCATATCATTTGCATATGATTATTCATCCATGTGATACCATGTTTAACGATACAAGATATTAGGAAAATATGAAATACGGAAGTGCTGTCACATTAGGCTACATTAATAAAAATCATAAGCCTATCCTTGCCTTGTTTTTGAATAAATAAATCAAATAGTGCAAAATACATTTCAGAGAAAGTTTCTCAATCTCACTGGCCAAATAGTATTTTTAATTGATTATATTTTTAATGGAAACAGATAGATCTTGTGCATTATTTGCACAAAACTATTTTCTCAGACAATCTGCTAT